GAAGGCTGAGGAAGGTTACCAGGCCTTACTCCTGGAAAAGCACAAGTGGTAACTTAAATCTGGTGGCAAGCCTACATTGCCTGTCCTTCCTCAGAACTTCACCCTAATGCTCGATTGATTTTTCAGGTTTCCAAGGTGTTTCTCCGCAACACACATAAAAGGTGCAGGAAAGTCACAATTCTCTTTGATAGTGGTCTACCAACCAGAGTTCTGGAAGAACTGTGACACTTCTGACATCAGTAGTTTAAAATATTATTAAAATTTCTTTGAATTAAAAAAAATTTCTTTTATTCCTAATATGCACTGAAACCTACCCAGGCCCTTTGAAAAATCTTTAGAACTGAAACAGTGTTTAAAAACTGCTTTTTAAGAGAGACAGTCCTACTATTTCATAATTGCTTTGTTTTTTTGTAGTGTAAATTACAGAGCTGAGTAAGATTTCTTCAGTAACAATATGGATTAATAATAGATGCAGAGGAAGAGCAGAGCTGGTGAGTGCACTTGCACCCTCCTAAGCCTCACTGGATGTGAAAGTGTTTCTAAACAGCATATTCTGGAATGCTAACATGACACCATACAATACAGCCTCATTTAAAAAGGCAGATTTTAAAGCTTTTATACTACTGCTACTAAAATGTCTGTTGCATTCCAAGCACTTCCAATGCAACTTCAATTCTGAAAGCTCACAAGATGTGATCTGTGGTGGAAGTGGAGTTTGCAGCTGAAACAATTAATAAAATAGTAGCGGGCAATTTGGTAAGGTGAGGAACTGGGGTGGGAGGGGGCGCTTTATAGCTTGCATTAGGGCTGTCCAGTACTTTGGAAACCAACAGGAACAGTCCTGACCTTCTTCATGAGAAGATGTGATATCCTGGGTAAAATAACACTGGACTTAATTTAGCTTTCTGCTACATACACTGAAATGTGCAGTATATAAAGCAGCATGTTCCATTTGCTGACCTCTTAAATAAGCATAAGCCCAAATATGCTCCCGCACAGGATGGGTGGCAAGTCTGGACGTTTCTTGATTCTACCCTACTTCAAGCATTACTGGTTTTTCTGTTCTGTCAACAGAAAAGATGCTCTAGAGCAAAGTAGCTACCAGACCTGGACTTAAATTACAAATAGGTGTGGTGCTCCAGAAATATTCGCATCTTATCTTTTAAGAAGAAACAAGAAGAATGCAGCTTTTGGGAGGGAATAAGAAAAAGGGAAAATTCTTTTTCTCTTTTCTATTATCTAAACTCAGCTTGATGACCAGAATTTTGACTTTTCTTCCTTCTGAGGACGTACTCTATTTCTTTTCTCTAGTCACTTTGTTTCACTTAACAAAATCAGTTATTTTCCTGACCGGCAATAGAGCAGAGAACTCGAAGTGGAACACAAGGCAGATGAAATAAAAATACATGGCATGCATTCTCAGGGGTTTTGGGGTTTTTTTTGTTTGTTTGGTTGGTTTTTTTTTAAAGCTATAAATTCAATTATAAAATCCAAGGTCATGCATAAGGAATAGCAAAATTAAAGTGAATTGGAATATCTGAAAACATTCAAGTTTACCTGTATTTCTTTCTACTCAAATTATCTAGACACTACAGTAAATTGAAGCAGCTGAGTTAATTTGGGTTATTGATCATTCAATACTCACAGTACAAAAATTAATATATTTTGTCTCTTTCTGAATAAGATTACATAAGAAACTGCATACAAGTTATATTATTATACTGTACAGACTGCACAACCACACACCTTCAAGCAAACTCAAACTCAGCAGCAACCAATGGCTTATGAGGTTAATATGGTACAAATTAAAGCAAAGCCAAGTAGTTAAGCAACATTTCAAATAATTTCCAACAGTTCCCTATCTTTTCCATCTTCCTGTAAACCTTTTCAATAGTTTCTACAGAAATGTCATTGGATCAGAAGAGACAACTGCTCACAAAAATATCTCTTTGTCTGCAAAAGTATGATTCATAATACAAAGAAGCTGTAGAAGTTAGGTTC